GACTGCATATGTTCTCTCAAGCACCACCGAGTCCCTGGTCCGGATGACCTCCCGCCCAAACTTTTCAAAGACGGGGTTGAAGTCCTCACTCGGCGCTTGTCCGATCTATTTGCTTGCATTTGGGAAAAGGAGTGTGTCCCAGACAACTGGAGAGAGTAGGTGATAGTGCCCATTTTCAAAAAAGGGGCGCGTAGTGAGTGTGGCAACCACAGGGGGGATCTGCTTGACCCCGGTTGTAACGAGACTTTTGGCGTCATTCGTGCTTCGTCGCCTTACGGTGGCTCGTGAAACACTGACTCGAGAGCAGCAATCGGGATTACGGTCTTGTAGGGGTTGGGTTGACCAGATCTTCGCACTTCTTCAGGTTCTAGAACAACGCCATGCGACCCACAATTCTAGTATTCCTGGATTTCCGAGGTGCATTCGACTCGGTTGATCGGTCTGTACTTCTTGACACGGTTGCTCTTGAAGTAATGCCCCGTAAGTTTGTAAACATAATACGTTCTTTGTATTCTCAGACTTCCGGACGTGTGAGAGTGTACGGAGAGCTCTCCAAAAGTTTCCGTACACAAAGCGGTGTCCGTCAGGGATGCCTACTCTCCCCGTTCCTGTTCAACTTCGTGATCGATGAAATCATGAGAGGAACACTGAAAGGTCCCCAAAACCCCAGTGTTCAAATAGCATGTGACGAAAACCTTGTCAATCTGGAATATGCAAACGACGTCAACCTCATGTTCGAAGAGGAGGAGAAGGCGCAATTATTTTCGGATGAGCTGACCAAATCATCCCGTCCTTTGGTATGCACTTCGCACCCTCAAAGTGTTAGGTCATGCTCGTGGACATGCAGCATTCACTGAGCACGCCGCTTACAATCCAGGAAGAGTCAATGAAAGTTGTGGAGCGTTTTACGTATCTTGGAAGTTGTATTAGTTCTGATTGTAGCGTGACAGATGAAGTTAATGCATGAATCTGTAAGGCTCGGTTCATGTTTGCTTATTTGAGACCTTATGGCATCAAAGTGGTGTATCCATGAATCTCAAGGAGCGTGTGTATCAAGCTACAGTAGGGGGTTTTGTTGTATGGCTGTGAGACTTGGCCTATTCGAGCAGCGGAACTGAGACATCTTCCGGAGTTCGACGATCGTTGTCTCAGAACCATAGCACCTTAGAACCATAACCACGCAACACATGTCCAAACCAACACAGCTTTTGGTGACGGACACATTCTTCAATGGAAGTACCCGTTACACAACCGAAAACTCGCTTTCTAATTGCCGCGTTACGGATTCACCGACACTAAACCATACGAGCTATGGTTCTGGAACAACGATTGTCGAACACCTGAAGACGTCTCAGGTCCGCTGCTCGAATAGGCCAAGTCTCACAGCCATACAACAAAACAGCCCGTACTGTAGCTTGATACACACGCTCCTTGAGATTCGTGGATACAACACTTTGATGCCATAAGGTCTCAAATAAGCAAACATGAACCGAGCCTTACAGATTCATGCATTAACTTCATCTGTCACGCTACAATCAGAACTAATACAACTTCCAAGATACGTAAAACGCTCCACAACTTTCATTGACTCTTCCTGGATTGTAAGCGGCGTGCTCAGTGAATGCTGCATGTCCACGAGCATGACCTAACACTTTGAGGGTGCGAAGTGCATACCAAAGGACGGGATGATTTGGTCAGCTCATCCGAAAATAATTGCGCCTTCTCCTCCTCTTCGAACATGAGGTTGACGTCGTTTGCATATTCCAGATTGACAAGGTTTTCGTCACATGCTATTTGAACACTGGGGTTTTGGGGACCTTTCAGTGTTCCTCTCATGATTTCATCGATCACGAAGTTGAACAGGAACGGGGAGAGTAGGCATCCCTGACGGACACCGCTTTGTGTACGGAAACTTTTGGAGAGCTCTCCGTACACTCTCACACGTCCGGAAGTCTGAGAATACAAAGAACGTATTATGTTTACAAACTTACGGGGCATTACTTCAAGAGCAACCGTGTCAAGAAGTACAGACCGATCAACCGAGTCGAATGCACCTCGGAAATCCAGGAATACTAGAATTGTGGGTCGCATGGCGTTGTTCTAGAACCTGAAGAAGTGCGAAGATCTGGTCAACCCAACCCCTACAAGACCGTAATCCCGATTGCTGCTCTCGAGTCAGTGTTTCACGAGTCACCGTAAGGCGACGAAGCACGAATGACGCCAAAAGTCTCGTTACAACCGGGGTCAAGCAGATCCCCCCTGTGGTTGCCACACTCACTACGCGCCTCTTTTTTGAAAATGGGCACTACCACCTACTCTCTCCAGTTGTCTGGGACAGATTATTATTCCCTAATCATGACGTAGCGGCTCGTGGGACTTGTGTTTAGCCCCAGGACTGAATGCGCCTTACTGAACTACATTCCAATAAAAATTCATCTTTGAGCCGTTAGGTTGACTGGTTCAATCAAAAATAAGATCAATGGTGTTTGTTTGTTGTCTCAGCATACGCTCCGACAAATGACAGATCTGAGGCTGCGAAAGATAGGTTCTATTGACAGTCGTCACGGGGATTCCAGTCATGAGGGAACACATATATCGTGATTCTGGAAGGTGATATGAAGGCTCAGGTTGGACGACTAAATTCTGAGGAAGCTTATCTTGACGGCCGATTAGAAGTTGACGCTCATCATCATCATCATCGACAACATGATGATGACGCTCACCACACAGATAAAGGTGAACTTCCTCAATTGTGCGCTGAACACTATTTGCTTCTAGCCAGCACAAACTTTCAGCACGGGCGCTCACACTGTGCGATGAGGAAGCCATTGACTGCGAATCAGCCGTGGACTCAAGTGGACGATGTGCCCATCGGGGCGAGATGGCCCAAGTGAGTAGAGGGCGGATGTACTGACCAGAAGGTCCGTGGTTCGAACCCGACCTCTGTAACTCGATTCGCCCTGTCTAGGCTTGGACAACTTGGCAGTACCTCAACCCTCGTGATTCCTTCGGGTAGCATGGCAGTTAGGCACCGAAAGGGTGCTACAGCTGAACGCTTTTTTTCATGTGCCAATCAGTTACCAGTGGAAAGCCCGAGAAAAGACTGCCGTACACTTGATTCCAATTACCGCACTGTACCAGCACACGTGTCCATTCACTTGTCTTGTGGCTGGGTACCTCCGAGAACTCATCGCAATGATAATTTAGATTGCGACTAGTGAAACATGAAAGACCTCATACACACAGCGCTTGAAACCATCTGCCCGAGTTCACTCGCACACCTCATCATGATCAGGACGTCTGAGTAAAGCCAGGAAAACAATACCAATAACAAACGACTGGGATGGCACGCAAAGATCCCCAAAAGCCGAATAATGAACAGCTTAAGAATTGACAGACAGCACTGATGAATCGCCAAAGCCCGCGAAATTGAGGATATGTAACGAGGACCAGCCGCACAGGTCCGAGGGTGGATGTTAGTGAAACGATCACCGAAAAGGATCGGACCCCAAAAGAATCACAGAAAAGTCGTCTCGAATGATGGACTGAGCGCTTTGAAGAACAGGACAGTTGGGCCACAATAACTCACCCTCTGGGAAGACAAAAAGAACCAAAGTGGGATGCTGACGTCAGTCCTCCATTGAGGACGAAAGCTCAGCGTACAATTTCATTGCTTCAGCTAACAGGGCACGTGAACCAAAGGGTTTGCACCCCGCATTCATCATCGTTCGAAAACCGTCGGGTCATCAGCCTAGTGGCTATAGATTCCAGGGAGGCGTATCTTCTGTCGTCCTTCCTCCTCAACTCCACAACTGAGAATGCTTGATTTCTATTTATTTGTCTTTAAAAATGTAAACTGTTTTAAATAACTTAAATAATTCTACTGTATGTTCGGTATTCGCTTCGATGGTGTAAAGTCTAAAGTGCCGCTGCAAGATTGGGTGGGACTAAACCCAAATCTTATGCTTCCAGGTGAACCGATCGATGTAGTGAAGTCCGCTTACTTTGATAGCTACGGAAATCCCGAGGGACCGACAAAAGACAAAATCACCTCCCAAACGGAAATGCATTTCGGGCACTAAAAACATTCGGGGATTAACTGCCATGCCACCCGAAGAAAACACGAGGGATGGGATGCTGCTAGGTTGCCCACACCTAGACAGGGGAAGTCGAGATGCAGAGATGGGGTTTGAAACAAGGAACTTTCGGTCAGTAAGTTCGCGCTTCAACCACCTCGCAAGCATGTCATCAGCTTGACCCTTAGGAGCGGAGTGCACAATTCTGCGGTCCGACCTCTTCCACCTCATGCATCATGGACCTGGCAGTCGCGTATGGAAGAGCTTCGAAGGGTCTATGTATCTGTCTCTGAAGCACCGGACGGACCTGGTGGGAACACCAGATCAGTAATGCTGAAGCACGCAAGACAGTTTCCGTGGAAGTTCACTCTTCACCGGTATATCAGCTGGTCATACTATATGTATTACACTGATTAGGCCGCCTGTATTGCAGAAAAAACGTGCACTTTAGCGTATATGGTTAGCAAAGAATTCTCCGGTTGTGTACTAATTACTACATTCATTTTTCATTCAGCGAACTGAGTAAATGGTCTAGCAACACACTATTAGTGTTTTGGATTGTAACATAGTAGATAGTGTCGTAACAGCTGAGTTTCAGAACCCAAAAGTCATCGGCACCTAAGTGCGGATAAGTCTCTGTAAAAGAAACAGTTCATATGAGATTAACGGCTCATATGTGAGGAATTGTGACTGCTACACTCACCGAAGCAGGCAGATACCAATAGGGGACGAAGAAAGTAAACGCAGGTGATAGCAATATCGGTTCGCTAGCTTATTCGCTATTTAGAACAGTGCCACCGACAGTAGTATGACAAAAGGAGCGCGCTGCTACTGCAGAAAACGTTCGCAGTGACTAGAATTCATATAAGTGGTACACGTCGACATAAGAAAAACTGTCTGACTAACAGCACGCAAAATGCTCACCTTTCATGACCTCCTTCACTGTGTCCATGACAAGTGCATCGCGAACAAGTGGAATTAAATGACACTCGTCTGGAAATCGATCAAATGGTTAATGCATAACAGGAAACAACCCACCATTCACAAAGTAGCCTAGTACAGAGGTTGGTAACTTCATAACCTCCGAACGTAACAGATAACTGTTACTAGACGATATCGAGTGGGTTAGCCAAGGACGAAACAATTTACTTTTGGCCTGGAGTAGGACTCATTGAAGGATTTTTTCCATCATGAATGGTCAGTTCCAACAGATCTGGAGAGCATTTCATTCGGCCATCCTTTACCTGCTCATGCTCAAGAGAGCGATTGAACCCGCGGTTTTTATACTGTTCCGTGCACAACATGAAAAAAGAAAAGAATTAGTCTTACCAGAATCAACAGTAGCTTCCGCATTAGTGCACCAGAAATGTAACAGTCAATCTAAAGACGTAACAATAATATGAGAGAGTTGTGTGTACCTCTTTTAGGACCCCTGGAGAATCCATTTCCGTGAAAACAACAATTTTCGGTTGCGAACTTGCAGGGGTATCAGATCGAACTGTAAAGAATGTTTATATTTCAGTATTTACTCTGCAGCCCCTTCTAGCTATGAATGGCGCGCAAAGAAAACAAAAGGCGAAAACAAAGCAAAAAGTTAAACCAAAAGATAATGCAATCATAGTAGCAATAGACCCATAGTTTTCGAGGTTCCTTCGTAAATGTCAACTACCAGCTTGCATCTGGTCACGTAAGATAGTGCCGACGGTGACACAGGAATCACTAAAGAGTAACAATAAAATAATTGTCCGGCTACAACACCCTTTCGGTGCCTAACTGCTATGCCACCCAAAGAAGCACGAGGAGACCCATAGTTTTCGAGGTTCCTTCGTAAATGTCAACTACCAGCTTGCATCTGGTCACGTAAGATAGTGCCGACGGTGACACAGGAATCACTAAAGAGTAACAATAAAATAATTGTCCGGCTACAACACCCTTTCGGTGCCTAACTGCTATGCCACCCAAAGAAAGCACGAGGACCCAATACGGGTCCTGCAGAGCATGAAGTCAAGCACTTCGCCAAACCCAACACCTAACTTGGTTACTTATTAATGCAAGATCCTAAAGTTAATGAGACCCCTGCTCAGACCCTAGATTAGTACTTGCGGCACTGTTTATTATACCGTTCACTCCTCCTCAGTTGTAACAGCCTTTCGGTACTTGGCTGCCACGCCACCCGAAGGAAGCACGAGTGCTGGGATACTACCAGGTTGCCCAAGCCTAGACAGGAACGGTCGAGATGCAGAAGTTGTGTTCGAACCATAGACCTTACGGCTAGTAGGTTCGCGCTTAAACCAATAAGCTATCTCGCAAACCTGACTTCCGGGTTCGTGTCATCAGTCTTGTCATCCGTATCAACCGATTTTCATCCACATAACTCACTTCTTCTCATACAGCACCGGGGCAAGATTACTCGTAGTAAGGGGTCCCACTGCTTTTGGTGTCATTGATACCATTTGGCCTTCCTGGCGTGGTTGAACCTTGTGGAACGAAGTTACGGCCGGTTAACCCGGCGGGATCATTGCAGCACTCAAGCATGACCACGTCAAGGTGGCAGCTATAGGTTGGGGTTCACCGATGATAAGGAGAATAAAAAACCTGATAGCGACACGTTGGAGACTACAACCCAATCAGTCAATTGACGTCAAGCGACTTCGTTTAACCAGCATGGCAAACAGTGACAGCTAGGGAGTGCAGGCGATAGATTTGGTGCAAGACAGCAGCTAGCTGCTCGACGCTGCTATGTCTGCCAAGATCACCCACCACTGCTTAGACTCGTCTCACGGTCCATCCGGGGAGAGAGCAGCGCGACAACAACGCGACTTAGTTGACTGGTGAGGACCTTCAGGCTTCGTCGCCAAGTCATGGACTGACCACTCGTGGATCGTCACCATTCAACAATTCGCTGGACAAATAAAGCTCTACGAAGCAAATGGTCCTCTGACATACAAAGCACACGGCCTAACCAGCGCAATCTTTGAAATGTGACCAGCTAACCTATTGATGGTGAAAGAACTTCCCCGAAAGTCATCTGGTGTAAAAAAAAATCATTCAGCTGTAGCA